TGTATGCATATATGCATGACCCACGGACACAGACAATAGAGTAGTAAAGGCCTGGGATGGGGGGTGGGGGCAGGCTAGAAAGGATCAATGAGGGAAAAAGGGGGACATATGTAATACTTTCAGTAATACTTTTTTTTTAAAAAAAAAAAGCTACTTGCTGAAAATTTTCAAAACTGATCAAAGTCATCAAGCCATCAATTCAAGAAGCTCTTCGAATACCTAGCAGAGTAACTACAAAACAAACTCCTAGGTCCGTTATTGTAAAACTGCTAAAAACCAAAGGCAAAACTGTGAAAGCAACCAGAGGGGGAAAATATGCAATTATTTAAAAGGAGCAACTGTATGTCTGACGGCCGGCATTTCCACAAAAATGAGGGAAGCCAGAGGCTGATGGAATGACACCTTCAAAGGACTGAAAGTAAAAATCTGGCAACCTGGAGATCTCCATCTGACGAAATGAACAAGCCCCTGGAAAAAACAAACAAACAAACACAAACTTTCCAAAGCTTAAACAAAGAGAAATATAAAAACCTTTGTCTGTGAAGGAAACTGAATCTTCTCACAAAGAAAACCACAGACCCACTGGGTGTCACTAGTGAATGCCGCTAACCATTTAACAATGGCCCCCTTCTTCCTCAAACTCTTCCAGGGATTAGAAAGAGGGAACACATCTCAAATTATCTCCTAAGCCTCGCATTACCATGATACCCGAGCTGGTCAAAGTCACTGAAAGAAAACTAAAATGGCAAGTAAACCTCTCTGTGTACACAGTCACAGAACTCCTAAGGAAAATATGAGCAAATTGAGGCTGCCAGGGTGTGAGGAGAACTCCAATCCTCCCAATGGTAAGCGTGCCTTTTCTCATTTCCAAAGGGACTTATTAACACATTATCTATTTCATCCCAATGTTTTATTACCACGTATACCTTACACATAGGGAAACTGAGGCCCAAAGAGGTGAAAGAACTAGCCCAAGGTCACACACAAGCTGGACCTGGGCTGGATAAATTCATTCCACTTGATGGACATTTACATTTACACACACCTGCTGTGTCCCAGCAAGGCCTGGGCGGGTAGGTTTGTGCCCCTCCCCTGCATCTCCCTTCTGCCTCCCGGGGCCTCTCATTCCTGGGGCCAGTGCCCCCTGGCTTCTCTATGGCGTTGGCTGCTCTATGGCGTTCGGGGGTCCCCAGCACACAGGGTGGCCCCCCTGTGCCAGGCCCCAGGTTCCATGCTCTGACCATGCCCGGAGCAAGCACGAAGCATTAGGAAGCGGGACTCATGGCCCATGCACTGCAGCCTGACCACCAACTCCAAGCTCACTGGTTACAAAGCGTTTCTGCCTGTTTCCCATTGGACTCAGGGAACCCTGCACGATGAGTACTGTTACTTCCCCTTGGGAGTATCAATACCCCCAACTTTGCCGATGAGAAAAGTGAGGCTCTAAGGCAGTGGTTCTCAACCTTCCTAACGCCGCGACCCTTTAATACAGCTCCTCATGTTGTGGTGACCCCCATGCATAAAATTATTTTCGTTGCTACTTCATAACTGTAATGTTGCTACTGTTAGGAATCATGTAAATATCTGATACGCAGGATGTATTTTCATTGTTACAAATTGAACATAATTAAAGCATAGTGATGAATCACAAAAACAACATGTAATTATATACGTGTTTTCCGACGGTCTTAGGCGACCCCTGTGAAAGGGTCGTTCGGCCCCCAAAGGGGTCGCGACCCACAGGTTGAGAACCGCTGCTCTAAGGGGTGGAGAACTGGTCTAAGACCCAGGGGCCTTCCCCTCCACACCAGGAGGCCCCGCCCAGCACTGTTCAATGGGATGGAAGATGTCCCGGGCTTTACGTTAAGAGACAGACTGACGCAGGTCGGTACGTGGAAAACCACCCAGGGATCGTAGGAAACGACTCCTGGCTCAGCAAAGTGGTGACAGGCTTTGTGTTTCTTTATGTCAAGAACGTGAGGAATGCGTCCACAGTAGGAGAGGCCAGATGCCAAGGAGACAGACAGCATAAAAACCAGAAACTAAGGCCTTTCAAGCTGCACTACGAAGAGGATTCTTTAAATATGTGTAAGCCGCAGCAGCTCCTTGGGGACCACAGGACCGAGGCCGAGGAGAAGGGGACACACACGGTGAGCTAAGCCTGGCCCTGTGTCCCAGTGGAGGCTGGGAGCGTCCCCTTCTAAAACCTGCCTTCTGCAGAAACGAGCCCGAGGCCCAGCTCTGAAGCTTCTCGATCTCATTGCTAAACAGATCGAGAAAACATACCCCCAGGACAGAGGAAGCCAGGGCCATCAGCTGAATGAATCCGTGTGGGCCTCCAACGGCACTGTCCAGAGAATGCGAGGCCCGCCGATGGGCCCCCACCACCCAGGTTCCTGAGGGACCCCGAAACCACAGCCCTGGCCACCTGAGGGGCAGAGTCCACGAAAACTGCATTTTGAGAACCCAGAGCACACAGCACCCCATGAAGGCAGAGGCACGGTTCCCAGAGCAGAGAATCATGTATTTCCCACTTGAGTTTGTGCGTGAGGGAGAAATAACCTCCGGATGACAGGAAGCTGGCGGACGTAACTTCTGGGACCTCCAAAAGCGTTTGAGCAGAGTCCAGACCAAACACGATGCGAACGACTGACTCACACGGGGATGGGAGGTGCTGCGGTGTCTGGGGCTGCAGGGAGGCCGGTAAACAGCGGCCAGGGGGCCCTTCCCACAGAGAAAAATGTAAACGGTGGGGTCCCGGGGGGTCGGGCTGGTTTCACTTTGTTAAAAAATGACAGAGGGAGGAGACAGTGGGGAGACTGCCCTGAGCATGAAGAAAACAGCGCCCTGGGCGGGTGGACTTCACCCAGAGAGCCTGAGGCCAGGGCAGGGGTCCCGCTGCAGGGAGAGCAATTCTGTGCGCACAGTAGGTGGGCCGTGCGAACCTGCCCTCCACCTTGAGAGAGTGGCAGAGGACTAACAAGCCCACGGAGCACAAGCATTCAGTGTACAGCACTCGTTCACCTGGGAAAGGAACACCGGGAGCCACTGGCGGCTGTGGGGTGATGTATTTCTTTAAAAAGTTCTTAAATAAAAGGACACACACAAAAATAGGCTGAAAAAGGGAAAGGGGGAGGTTTAGGCCAAGCACAGAGGATTCGGGAGTGAGTTTCCAGTAAGAGAAGCTCCCTGACGTCGGGAGGAGCCCTTCCAGGCGGGGGACCCCTGAGGTGGCGTCAGGTGGCGAGCACCTGACCTGGTGGGGGAACTCCAAGGCCCACGGGGCAGCGCACTGGACTCCCCTCTTTACCCCCCCACAGGCCCCTCCTCCCATCTCGGTCGGACCAGCTCCCAGCCCACGGCCCTCAGGCCACCCAGGAGCCTCACCTGCTGCTGGCTCTGCTCCTCCAGGTTCATCTTCACCTCCAGCGACTGGCGGGCCTCCAGGAAGGCCTTGCGGTGCTTGCGGTCCGCCATGTAGTAGGACATGATGCCCACGACGATGGCGCACAGGTAGAGGAAGACGTTGGCCAGGATCTGCGCCCCGAGGAGGAGAGAAGAGGACAGTGGTGAAGGCGTGTCTTCAGGAGAGGGGGTGGTGGTGGGCAGCGGTGACCGAGACCAAACCCCAAGTTGCCAGTGTCCAGGGAGGGCCCAGCAGAGCCTGTGACACCAAGGGATGTGCCGTGGCTGAGGCCCCCACAAGGGTGTGGCTCCAGGCCTAGAAGGCTGGTTGGGGGGTTGCTGTTCCCCCCTCCTGCTAAGCTGGCCAATCCATCCACCTGTGAGGCCTGAGCAGTCCCTCTGCTACCCATTCATTCGTTCACGCGTTTGTTCAACCACCACACGCTGAGCACATGCTTATTATGTGCAGGTAGGTGCTGATGAGCTGGGAGCAGAGGGCAGGAAGCCCAGATCCACCAGCGGCAGGTGTATAACCCGGCCTGCAGAGGTCCTGGGCCGATTCCGGAGTCACAATGTTACCGTTACTACCCTGCACCTGTGCCACAGGCTTACAGGTCTCTGGGGTTCACATGCGTCCTTGGTCACCCCTGCCAGCAGGTGAGGGGCGGCCAGTACCCGTATCCAGGTCCTACGAGGAACCGAAGCTACAGGAAGAGGAGGAGGGGGCAATGGGACGTGGTGTGCGTGCTGCGAGCTCAGTGCATTGGCACAAAGAGCTTCTTTGGGCTGAGAGCATGTTCCTCTGTCCCCGGCACCTGCAGGCTCCCTGGGTGTGTGGTGCCCAGGCCACTCCAACGGGCCACTGGACTACAGACCTGATCACCTTCCGCCGAGGTAACCCTGGCACAACCACCTGCACTGTCACACTAGGTGGGCACCGAGCTCTGAGCGGGGTCTCCTGCCCGCCACCGCGGGTGCTGGCTGACCACCCCCATCGGGTGTCCACCCAACAAAACCAAACCAGACTGTGCAGATGTCAGAGAGCAAGCAAACACCGCCAAAGCGTCTAGCCCAGACAGTGACACACTCGGGTTTGTTCATGCCTGGGGACCATCGAGGCAGGACAGCATCCCTTGCACTGAAATGTGGGTATTTAAAACAACCCACTTCTGCGCCCCACGGTGGGTAACACGGTGAGAAAATGAATGCACGAGGGGCCCTGGGCTGTGGCCCTGCCCCTCGCTAGCCGGGAGCCTACATGTCAAATCACCCGTCTGCGCGCCGGTTTCATCACAGGTGAGCTGAGGGGCGGACTGACTCAGGGCAAAGGTCCCTGTGTTCTTGACTGTCTGGTCCTCCCTCACCTGACCTCACCTCTGAGGGCAAAGGCTGGACGGGGTTGGGGTAGGGGGTGAGGGCAGGGGTTGTGACCTGGTGCAGAGAGGCCCGGGGAAGAAGGCTGGATGGAAGGGAGGCAGGTCAGTTTCCAGGTTGGCCACAGAGCCACACAGCCCTGCTACCTCCTGCCCCGAGGCCTCCTCCCCTCCCCAGCTGCTCTCTCGGCTGCAGGGATGTGGAGGCAAAACGCTACTGGAGAGTGATATGGGTCCCTCGGGTCCCATCCATGCCGGAGAACTCCCTCCCAGCCTCCCAGTAAGCTCATCTATTTCTAGACCTTTCTCCCGGGAGCCCCAAGCCTTGGGTTTCTTAGAACGCCCCCAAATATCTAAACTTGCCTCCAGTGAAGAAAGGACCCCCAGGGCACTGCTGCTGTGGTCCACCTGCCCCCCCTCCCACACAACCACAGCCCACAGCGACCACAGCAACTGAGCCATTCCCTCCCTTGCCCCCTCCCCTCCCCCTGTGCGGGGTGGAGAGCAATGGGAGGCTGACCAGGGCCCAGATCTGAAAGGGTGATGCAGCCAAGCCCAGGAGCCCTCCAGCCAGGAAGCGGGGGTCAGCTAGGGGGAGGAAGGTTCCAGAGAGAGAAGGGGGAGCCAGGAGGAGGAGTTTTTAAAAATAGATATTTTTATTGATCTCAGAGAGGAAGGGAGAAGGAGAAAGACAGAAACATCAACGATGAGAGAGAATCATCCATCAGCTGCCTCCTACACGCCCTGTGTGGGGACTGGGCCTGCACCCTGGGCATGCACCCTGACTGGGACTGAACCACAACCTACTGGTTCATAGGTTGATGCTCAACCCCTGAGCCACGCCGGCCAGGTGGGAGGCGTTCTTCCATCTCGGGGGGACTGCCCGCACCCTCACGGCTGAGAAGCTCCGGTTGCTACCCCAGTGGCCTGCTTTAGGCTGGGCAGTCTGACTTCCCCTCCAAAATTTTTTTAAACGCAAGATTTTTAAAATGAGTAAAATAAACAAGTCTCCCAAGTGGGTAAACATTCAGACTGAAGCTTCATCTAACCCACAACAGAAAAAGTATTTATGACCCCTGGGCTCAGAAACGCAACCGTGAGAAAATGCCTTCCCTCGTCCTTCCTCCTGGAATCCGATGAGTCACCACACCCTGCACGCTTCCCAACAGCCCTCGGGGACGCGGGCTCCGAGATGGAAGTCGCCCTCGGAGGCCGGCGGTGGCTCCAGTGCTAGGCTGACCTCTCCTGTGGGGTCGTTCCGGCCTGCAGGCTCCAGAACACTCCAGAACTAGGGAGAAGGGACGGAGGCAGAGAAAGCTGCCCCGGCTTTCAGTGTCCGTGTCGGCCGCCCTCAGGGACCTCGGGACGCTCAGCTGCTGGGGGACGGCCGCGCTGACGTCTCCGTTCATTAAAACAAGCTGAGATGTTTTGGAAAAAAATCTCCAAGGTGCAGGCAGCAGCAGGGGAGATGGCAGCTCAGCCGGCAGCCAGCCTCCCGGCCCGGGAAGCCCAGTCCGAGCCTCCCGTGGTCCCCCAGCCACGATCGTGCAGAACAGGCCGGGCTGTGTAGTCACGCAGACCTCACACACCACCAGCAGGCGGGCGGCCTGGAGCAAGCCCCTTACCCCCTGTGAGGCACGGATTCCTCATCCCCCCGTAACCCTTTCACCAGATTCGTTTTTTTTTTAATATATTTTATTGATTTTTTACAGAGAGGAAGGGAGAGAGACAGAGAGTTAGAAACATCGATGAGAAACATCGATCAGCTGCCTCCCGCACATCTCCTACTGGGGATGTGCCCGCAACCCAGGTACATGCCCTTGACCGGAATCAAACCTGGGATCCTTCAGTCCGCAGGCCGATGCTCTATCCACTGAGCCAAACCGGTTTCAGCTCACCAGATCCTTACAAGGGTCGGTTGGACTAATAACCACAAAACTCCCCAGAGGCTCCCCATCTCCTGTGGCTTCGGAAACAGGGAGCACAAGGCCACGGCACTGTGCATCCTCTCTTTCTGATGTGACCCCGTTCCTCAGTCACCTTGTCTTTTTCTCCAGGCCAGATAGTTCCAGTTCTACCTAAAGGACTCTATTTTAAAAGGTTTAATTGTGTTCGTAAGACTCACCCCTCCTGAGTCTTCAGTGAGAGGCGGGCCGCATGCAGAGCGCAGAGAGTGCAAGAGGACCTCTAAGAGCTCGGACCTCGGATCTCGAGGGATGAAGACGCTGCCACAAGCCGAGGGAGCCCAGCAGGATTCTGAGGGGCGGGAGCCTGAGGGCAAAGGCCCGAACAGGGAGCAAACTTGGGCTGGACACACACAGCTGTGGGCTTTCACACACACATTTTAATATAAGGGTTCTGGACGGTAAAGGGAATTTAAACCAACTTTCAAACCAATGGCCAGTGTCAAATGAAGGAAAGGCAAGAAACGGAAAGTTATACGCTTATAGGAGTGACCAAATGACAGCAGGGCGCATGCCGCCTGCTCAGGTCTGCTCGCCTCGAAGCAGTCAGTACTCATTGCATTGAGCGCTCAGATCCTGCCTTTCAGGAACTGTCTTTGAAATGAACTTGACAGCGAACGGACCAGTCCCCAGGAAGAGGAACATTTGCACCAGGAGACAGGAGAGCTTCAGAATTCCAGAAATATTACCATCACATACCCGTGGCAGGTGACAGGTGAAGGAAGAGCACTGATCACACAAGAACTCCAAAGCCCTCACGCATGTACCACTGAACAGAGCAAACAGCGCCCTGACGGCCCACCCTCAGTTCCCAGTGCCTCGGATCTTGAGAGTAAAACTTGGTGCAGACTGTCGGCTGCAGGCCAGCGTCCCCCTCCCCCGAACCTGGAGGGCTCTTCCTTTCTCCTTGGGGGCTCATCCCCTTTCTTCCCTCCCTTGTTGCTTCCCAGGGATGACTCAGCAGCCCTCCTCTCTGCAGCCTCTCAGACCAGCCCGGGGACACCCAGGGTTTCTTTTCAGCCCTGAGTCCTTAGCTGCTGGTTCCCTATTCAGTGTTTCTGGGACAGGTGCTCAGGACGTCCAAGGGGACCGGGTGAAGAATGGAGATTCCTGGGCCCCACTTGCCTGCGGAGACCCGGGAATCTGCATTTCCCCATCACTGTTCTAGGGGCTGGAATAAATAGTAAGACAAAGCCCAGACCCTCCAACCGGCCTGGCTCTTTAACCCAAACCGTGAGCGCTGCTTTAGGTCATCTCTGAGCCCATGGCCTGTTTTCCTGTCTGTTTCTTCTCTTTTATTGTTTCTTCTCTTCCCCGTTCTCATAATCTCCTCTTCGTCCGGTCACGCCTCCTAATTGTTCTTTTCTTGTCTGGCCAGCCTCTCTCCACACACTCGAAGCCACATCCACTGCTCTCCACCCATTACGGCTGTTTCATGTGTCCTGCATTTAATCCAGTTTCTTGATTTTTAATTTAGATTTTAAGTCATTTTCCATGTTTCCCTGTCATTGCCCTAACCCTTCTCTTACTGCCTCCCGCCCCCCTGCCCCTCGCTTGGCAAAGCTAACACACGGTCACAATCAGAGAGACAGGCCTGGGAGGACCATGCCGGCCAGAGACCGGTCCTCGCAAGGTACTATCTTAGACACAGACACAGAGAGATCTTCCAATTCCAAAATTCAAAGTCCTGGCAAATTCCACTCTCCTGAATTTCAGTTTTTCAGCCATAACTGCCTGAACCAGTGCTACCTGGGTGTGCTCCCCTCACCCTTACTCAGGAGTTTCCAACCCTGGC